GTGGTGTTTAGTTGCCCACCGGGCTAAACCACGACATGTACAAAGAAAAGGGAATGCAAAAAGTTTAAAGCTTGGTGTCAGGACCTTAAAAAAGGTTTAGATAATATTTGAGCCTAGTCGTTACTAACCAAGAGTGCATTATCCACAGCAGGGGATAAGGACAAGGAGAAAGCATGTAATTCTTAATAGTAGCAAGACAGTAATTTATGGAGCTAAGCATATCTATTCTACTATTCACTGCTAAAGAAAAAAAAAAATCTAGTAGCAAGGTTGGGACTGATATAGTCTGATTGGCCTAGAAAATCTGTGATAAGGAAGGAAGATGTAAAGCCAGTTTGAAAGAGACATTCAATTAAAATGAGATGGTAGATTTGGAAAAACAAACAAACCAACCAACCCCACAACAAAAAAAAAACAAAACAACACAAACATTTTTTTTTAATTAGAAACTAATTGTATAACTTGCTAAAATCTTAAGGGAAGAAAACTGATCAAAGATCTGCATTGGAAGCTTAGGAAGAAAGGATAAGTAATAGGAAATATGCACAGCAAGCCTTCTATACTCTCTTACATCTCTTGCTTCCAGAATCTTGTGGGCTTCCTGAACAAGCAATTGCATAGACAATTTCATTTTTAAGACTAGGATTTGTGAAAGGGATGTCTATTATTTAGGCCCTTTGCAATGCATTTATATCTAATACTATCATTGCTGCTGAATATAAAGCTCCAAACCCAAACACAATTCAAGACTGCAAGTATATCATTAGTAGTATCTAAAATAGTTATAATCAATCATAAATTTGGAAGACTCAAGCTATTCTTTGAGACTGATAAAAAGAATTTACCATGTGGAAGGCAGGGTATCTCATTTGCTTGGTGTGATGTTTTCCGCCCGCCCTTTGAAGGGTTTATTTACTTTTTCAGACAGGATGCTTAGTTGAGACTGATCACTTGTCTAATGGAGATTTACACTTTCTACTGCTAAACAAATCAAGTAAGATGTAATGGATGAGGTGAAAATCACATAACAGCAGTGAAAAATTCAATTTACCATAATCCTCTCCCCGGAGAATTTCAGGTGCAATATAGTTTGGAGTCCCACAGAACGTGCTGGTTGTGTCACCAGGCCTCAGACCCTCCTTTAAGAAAAGACAGGAATGAAATGCTTTACAGTTAGTCACAGATCCCACAATACCCCTCTGCTAAGAACTTAATTTTGAATTAATTTAAGTGTTCTGAACAAATTGCTTTTGTTTTAGTAAGACTATACTTAAGTCTGTATGCAAATAAATACAAAAGACTACTGGTTTCAGAAGAAACAGAGGTAGGTTGCATCTAGAGTCTCAAGAGGATGGCGCATACCTATTGATGACAACGTCTTTTAAAGTTTTAGTTAGTGAGCTCCACCACATCTCTAGTGACAGGGAAGCGGGAATAACTGAGGCATGGTGGAACAGCTTACACAACTGCGGTGTTGTGATGGACACAGACAAGGTTTTCAGAGAAGAGCACGGGATGCAGAATGGGAGGAGGTCACCCAGAGCAGCTGTGCAATCTTCAGCCTTGGAAGTTTTCAAGACCAAACTGAATAAAGCCCTCGGTAGCTTACCATTCCTTGAGCAGGAGGGTGGATTAGACTTCCTGAGGCCCTTTCCAACCCGTACTATTTTATGTTTTTCAGTTGCTTAGTCAAAATTACAGCGTGACTGATATATTTCAACCTCTTGCTCTTTTCAAAAAACCAAGCTATCCTGACTATTTCAGTCTACCCATTCCAGTCAAGTTGATACAGCAGCTTTATAAAAACATAAACAGCATCTACATATGTAGTCTGGGCACTTCGGCACCTCTTTTTCTTTTCTCCATTTGTAAAAGTGAAATAAGCATACAATCTATCTGCACTGTGTATGAATTAATACCTTGAAATTTCACATTTTTAAGTCTGTATCTTTTAATTTGACAATTTCTTAATTGTTGATTTCACTGGTTAGCAAGGTACTAGAGCTTACCTTGCACATGCCATAATCTGTGAGTTTAATATGCCCTTCAGAATCTAGTAGCACATTATCCAGTTTCAAATCTCTGTAGATTATCCCTCGTTCGTGTAAATAGTTCAACGCTAGACTGATTTCAGCAGAATAAAACCTAGTGTAGAAACAGATACTGATTAGGCAAGTAATCAAAACCGAAACCACAACAACAGTCTCGGTAATATGATACTTTTCTAAATACAATCCCACATATTTTATTATTTTTCATCAAAGAAGTGGATAAGTTGTTTATAATCATACCAACGTTTCTATCCACAGTCACTTCAAAAAAGTTCTTTAATTAATATTAACATCTACTGAAATCATCCCTTTCATCTCACCATCTGAGATGAAGCATATGCACCAAGAACTCAGCATTTGCCTGGACAGCTGGTAGTCGTCTTTTTAAGAGAAACACATTGATATCATTAGCCAGTTAAAAAAATACCACCAAAGTGTTTTTCCAGAAAAAAAAAAATCAGAATCAGATTGAAGTCATCTAGGGTAATGCTAATACAAACAACACCTAAATGCTTCCTATTACAGTTCCTCCTTGAAACTAAAATATGGTAGCTTGCAGCATTAAAATGAGGATGCGGTTTCACGTTTCTTAAACCCTTAACATCTGGAGAAGATTTGCTAGCTCATCATCATAATCTCTGCACTACTGCACTGTGTCAGAAAACCAAATGTTTTCATGCAAGAAATCTGAAATCAGACATACCTGGCATGCTCCTCTGGCAGCTTTCTCTGTCTCTGCATATGAAACATGAGATCTCCTCCATTTACATATTCTATAACAAAGAATAACCTGAAACACACAGGAGTTTGTTACAAATGGTTGTATATAAGGCTGAAAGATGTTTGAGATGTTACAGGTCTGTTAGCGAGCAATACCAGTTCAACTCCTCCCATCCCTCTGGTTATAATGGCTGGTATCACCATTTTCCCTCCCTTTGAATAAATTTCCAAAGTTAAAAATCAAATACATGAAGTCTCACTAGATAATTCCTTTACTGCTAAAAGAAAGTAAGTAATCCCTCCCACATTCCTAATCCATTACAGCCATTGCTTGTCATTACTACGTATGTGACTACATAAATAGATTCACATCAGTTTCTACGCACAAACTAGGAAAAAAGAAAATAAATCTAATTTTCCTTCGTGATTTTTTCGTTAATACTATTAGTATATTACAAATACTCTTACTTCTCACTTCCCTCCACTAGCTAGTCACCTTTTCAAACAGCAAGAATGTTGTTTGAATATATAATAACTGTATTTTATATATACTGGAAATTATTACTGTATAGAATAGTAATTTATTTGTCTCTGCAATCTCTTCCCCTATATTTAAACACACAGGAAAAAAAATCATTTTCATCTCTATTATCCCGTTTTCCTTTTTAAAATTCAGAACTATTTTCTGAGTCTTGCTTAGCTCAGAGACTCATCTTCAGAGGGTCCATGCAAGTTTGAAATAAATTTCTTCATTTTTTGTACTTCTGATTTCTCTCTCTCTAAACATTTTTTCTCTCCCATTCTAGGTTCTGTCTTCTACCTTCTAGCCTTAAGACTTTTTTTCTGCTAGCTGCAGCTCTCTTCCTGTCCGAATCCTTCTCATCATACCTACCAGTACTTTGCACTCCTTTGCATCTTCTCAATGTGAAAAGCTTAGATGATGAACACGGCCTTTTGCTCATAAAATACTACAGTGATTTACAGCGCATTAGCTTTTCCTACCCACCTAACACTTCATGCTTTAAATAGGCCTTTGAGGTGCCTAACAGTATGAAATATTTTTTAAATAAGATTATCTTCTTATTCTCTTATGACCTTTACCTGCTTTCTGTCTGGAAGCAAGAGTGTAGTCCAACAAGAAAGGGATGATTTGAAGCCTGTTCAAAGACGTGTTTCTCTGTCTGAACCCAATCAATATCCTATTTATGTAAGAAAAGCGACATTCAGAAAAGGACTGTTGCACTTCTTAGGTCAAATATTAATGACAATCAGTAGAAAGGTATTCAAATGTTTTGCTATTCTTGTTTTACTTGCAAGAAATTAAATACAGTTCTCTAATGTGAAGTAAGACAATTTAGCATACTCGTTTTTTTTTCCTGTCTTGAATGTCCTGTACTTTTAGCCTCACTGTGTAACTACGCTTGGGAACGTACAAACACTCATCTATAAAAGATAAACTTGTGCAGACAAATGTAAAGTAGCATCAAGAATTGCAGAAGAAATCAATGGTAGACCAAGGAAAAAATGCAAAAGCTCTTGGATAGCAAACCACGGTCACTAAAGAAACACAGGGCAAATCTTCAGCAACAAGAGGTGTTCAGCATTTTAACACTGCAACTTCTGGCAAGTTTCCACTAATCACTGTTCGAGCTACAAAAACTGTTAAGATGGAGGTCTGATTCAAAGAGCAATTAAAACAATATTGTGAGATCTCCTTTGTGACAAAAAAAAAAATCAAACTCGAACATAAGAAAAGCCACACTCCATCCATTTCTTTTTCAGCCCAGCAAGCCAACATAATAGAAGAGATAGGGAATACTGCTCCAAAATAAGGAAGCAGGCCAGGCTTGCTAACTCGAATCATGCAGGAGCACTGCTGTAGACAGTGCTGATCACAAAAGGAGACACTGACAACACGTGCAATGAGGCTCACGACAGAAACAACCAGCACAGGAGGGCGGCCGTGAGGTACCACTCTGTCAATGAAGACCTCAACACTGGTTATCTGTCTTGACAGAAACAACCAGCACAGGAGGGCGGCTGTGAGGTACCACTCTCAATGAAGACCTCAACACTGGTTATCTGTCTTGTGAACCTTCTGTAGCAGAGTATGTGTAAGTTACTGCATGTATAATTTTCAATTAGTGTTGCAGACCCAGAAGCCTGGCTCCCACCTCGTGGCACATACTGAAGCTCTTTGGAAGAGCTGCCTGATTTATTGATAAACAGCTTGCCTACCTCATCATCATTGACGAGCTCTTTCTTCACGACTTTCATTGCATAAATGCGTTCAGTTTTCTTCAATCGAACAAGCAGTACTTTAGCATAACTGCCTCTTCCTATAACTCGGAGCAAATCGAAATCCTGAAGACCCAGACTGGAGGAAGCTTTGCCACTTTCTCTGATGCTCATTGCCTTTTGATAAAGATGATTTGAAATTAGTAAGCAGGCTTGCCAATTTTAATAACTGCAAAAGTTAGCATTTCAAAACAGAACAGAAAAATTAATGTAAACAACTGATTCAAATAACACTTGTTTTTCTTAAAACTGCACTGTCCTGAAAAGGAATGTGAGAGAAAAGGAAGGAGGCAGAGGAGACTTAGCAGATAAGAAACAAATGAAACTGGAGGAGTCTGGAATACTTTCTAAGTCAAAGCACATCTACACTTTCTAAACCAAAGCACATCCCAACTCAAGGTTCAAAATAAAACAGCTGAGTGAGCAACCCAAAAGTGCTTTATTGTACTAGTATTCAGTTTGTGACAAGTGAAATTACTAAAAATCTCAATATTGAGAGAGACAAAGGCTTTAAGATCTCTGAATACAGGTAGCATGGTTACAATACTTTACCTCCTTTTCTTCACCAACATGGTCCAAGCTCTCATGACTTGAGGGATTATACGGAATCACTAGAGGTGCAAGAAAAATTGTTAAACTAATGCGACAACAGTATTTTCTTTTGTCTTAAAATTTCCACTCACAAGATCTAAATCAGAGAGACATACAATTTAAATGCACCTGCTGTAAGTGTTCGAAACTGTTGGGTTTGGTGTTTAGTTTGTTCGGTTTTTTTACAACATCATAATCATTCTTTTGCAATACTGCATTAATAATCAGTTATGGCTAATATAAAACGCTGTAGTATATTTGGAGATCTCTTCAGATTAATCTTGACTCCATAAACAGAGAATCTTGTGCAGAACAGTGGTTTGTTTGGTATTTAACCTGATCATTACCTATATTCAAATTCAAATGTTAGGACCATCACTGTGATTGCTACAAGAATGAACTTGTTTGTTTGACCAGGTTATTCAAAGTGCACAGCTTATTGACGGAAAAATTTAACTAACAGCCCAAATTCTTCTTTTTTAGTGAAGTTTCTTAAACTGATAAGATACAGAGAACTGAGGAATTTTTATATTTACATCGGCCTTAGCATTAAGAAGCTGTCTTAATTTTCTTGTTCTATGAACAAAAGAACGGGTTTTAAAATAATTTACCTAAAGTTATTTTGTTTTATTTCAAAACTCAAAAGTTCATGTTCCAGCCATAGTAATTTGAAGAAAAAAACCTATTGATCTTACCTGATTCTACATTATCTGGATGCACTGACGATGGATCCATAGACATTATTGGTTCCTGCAAGTATGCACAGGATTTTTGTAATAGACTGTCCCAGTCTGAGAGACATTATTTTAGATACAATAAATGAAATAAATGAACCCTGAGGAATATAATCTAGCTACTTTTTGACTTGATCAGTCAACATAGTTACTGCTCTAATCCATACACAATAAAATAAACCACTGCAGTCCTTATTTTACCTATTTTCCAGAAGTTATGACACATTTCCAGAGGCTGTTGAAGTGACAACTTAGTACAACAGAGAAAAGAAGTATAGCAGATGAGAAATGAGACAGAAAAGCTCAGGTACTTCAGCACTACATACATTAGACAAACTACTTAACAAAATGTAGACCTGTAGCTGCTTTTAATATTAAAGAAGGAGCAGTAATCATCTAAATTTTTCAGGGAACTTAAGAACTAAAAATGATTGAATTTATTGGGTGAAAAGTCACAACTTCTACACTTTATCTTCCTTTTCTGTGAAACAAGAAATAGTCTAATAATCTAACAGATATTTAGAGAATTTATTTTACCTGTACCTCACTTTGAAGATCCAAAATAGAGTGTGTGTGTGCGTATGCACGCACTATGTAACAATATAGTTGAAGGATGAGATAAATATCACTTATATGTTTATATTTAACACAGGAAAAAATATCAGGTGTGAAAGCTAGGCACCCACTTTGCCACTAAACTGTCATCCTGCTAAGCAATTCCCAAACTTTCTTGCAAAGCATCACAGTAACCATAAAGGATAACGTTTCATCTACCGAGATTATTTGCAGACTATACTCTGAAAACCATTAGTATAAAATGGGCTTTTTTGTTTGATTGGTTGGTTGTTTTTTAAAGACAACTTTTCGGGTAAGTTTTACTTACTGGTTGTAGTGTATGACGACCACATTCAATACTGACGAGTTTGTGACACTTCTTGTGAACAAGGAGTTTGCAATTGATGCATTTATATCCCTGGCGACCCAGGCCCCATATTCGGTCAGTGCAGATGGCACAATGAGCTCTCTAGAATGACAAATCAACAAAACCAATTAAAGAGCAAAAATTAACAGAAACCATTCAGCCACATTTTCCTTAACACAGAACACAGGACAGGAGATCAGAGTGATCCCTGCTGAATTTGCCACTATACTTAGAGTGTCTATATGAAAACTTTAAGAACCAACAGGCAGATATAGTATAGAGGATTTAAAAAATTAGAATTGAACAACAAGCAGCAACTGCTGCACAAAAAGTGTGCATCTGCACAAAAAGACACAGGCACAGCCGGCCTCTTCTGCTGCACGCAGGCCCAGAGACATACGAGCCCAGTCCAGGCGAAAAGCACTGCAGCTGAACTGGCAGGCTGCGGTACCCAAACTAATCTGCTACATGTCTCACCATCCCTCTGTGTAGATGAGTCCTCACAGTTGTACAGAGGAAGGCAGGACAGCAAAAGCTTCAATACATTAAACCACCAGATAACAAGAAACGGGAAGATCATCATTCACTGAAGGACATTCACAAAACAACTCAAAAGAACCATGGAAACAGGGTGTCTATGGAAGCAGGAGTGGAAAGTGGCTAAATAATGGTGCCTTGACAGCCTTTGACCAGCAAGAGGTCCAAAAAAAAAAAAAAAGCAGTTAAGATATGAACAATGCTGAAGATGAAGTTTAGTGGAGACAATCTTTGAGCACTAAGCTTAGAAAAGAAGGAAAGATTATCAAAGCTGTCAAAGAACCTGGCCTATTCAAATATTTTGGGGTTTTCTTTTTGCTGTTGCTTTTTCTAAACACAACAGAGAGCCTTCTTGGTCCTTAGCTAATTACATTTGACTATCGCTTCTTGAAAATATGACAAACAGTTTGTTATTTTCAGTTGATTACATGCCATCATAAGCAAGCTGTTAGGAGAAACATCTCAGCTTTTCATTTAAAAGTCATAAAAGAAAAGTCTGTGCATCATAAGCGAGTTCAGACTTTTTACTCCCAGAACTTAAAGAACTGAAAATGTACTTCCAGCTCATAGTCATCTAATGCCAGTGTTCAAGTCTGCCCTCTGGGAAGACTTTAAGGGAACACAGGAGCATTTCTATAATGGACATCATGATTTCAGAGCACACACAAAGTGAATTGCAACCAATTAATTTTTTTCTATTTGAAGTTTCAGAAAATTTAATAACAATTAAGTTTCCTGAAACCACAGGGTTATGAAAAGTCTACATACTATAGACAAACAACAAAAATACAAAGAACAAAACTACCTTATCATTTTTCAAGGCAGTGACATTGTAATTACAACAGTAAGACATCGCCGTATCATGGTTTTAAGTACCCAACAAGAGTCTCACCCTGTTAAATCGTTTGGCTTGGAAAGTGTGACCATTTGCACAATAGAGTTTTCGCCACCGGCGGGCGCCTCGGCGATAAATGGATTCTAAGAGGAAAAACATACGATTACATCCATAAAAACAGAAACACAGAACTACAACATCTCATGGACGTTTCTGTGTACAGTGATTTGCAGAGTAAAGTTTCACTCCTACACCTCACAGAAACACAGAGAATCTTTTTCATCTTTTAAATCTTGGAGAAAATTTGAAGTAGAATATCCTGATCAACTCAAAAGTTCATTCTGCTTTTCCAAAGTTAAAATGAACAGTGAGTCAAGAGAACGAAAAAAACACGAACACTTGCGTGCAAAGTACGCAACTACCTTACCTAAACTTAGGGAGGAGCTGTGGGGAAAGGGAAGGAGGAAAGAAGGGGAATTTCAGGAACATGCCCTGATTTATAAGGCTGCTTGCACAAATCCTCCAGTGTTCTAGATCCACAGCTGCCACTGTTTTTCCGCATGCTGGGTTTTTTTTTCCAATTTTTATTTTTTGAGGCATATCAGGAACTACAATTGGAAACTAGAATATACAAAACTACACTGAGTCACAAATCTATTTCAGATTTAGTCTGCAACCTCATTTTTCCAGAAAAGCAGCGTTATCCATACTGCCAAAGTTAACTTTTAAGCATCTACATTTACATTTGTCCGAGACTTGGATATCAAGTTGACAGATGTGTGCGTGCATAACATACACATGCTCTTCTAGAAAACTTTAAGACAGAGGGAAAAATCGCCTCTTTAACATCCAGTACATTAGCTAACAGAACTCAGCGGTTTTTGAAGAATATTCCTGATAGCACCTAAACGTCAATTTTAAATGAATTAACCACAGATCTCTAAATGGTGATACAGCAAGTCATTACCATTGGTTACCACTGGTTACAAGCCTTTGCTCACATTAGTCAGCCAGCAATCTGGCAACTACCAAAAAGATAGGAATATGATAAAAAACTGTTACGATGGAATAGGCAAAAGTAAGGAAAGCAGAGTGACATGGAGAGTTAACAGGAATGCGAAACGCTTATTAACAATGATTCAGAAACGACAAACAACATTTAAGTTTAGCAAGACTTTCTATTCATTTTAAATATTTAATTTCTAGAGATTTGCACTATTAATATTCATAAGCACAGGATGCCAAACTATAGAACATCAAAATCTTCTAAAACAAGAAATTTGAATTCCTGATTTTCTATACTTCTTAATTAAAACGCCTACTTACTATCTTCTCCTGGACAAGGCATGCCAGGCCGTTCTGGTACACAAGGAAATACTGCAAGAAAAACATTAACTTCCAATTAATCTTTATTTTGGACAGAACATAAATGTTTGGGTTAAATACAACACTTCCGAAAGGCGATCAACCGTTCAGGAAGACAGCACAGACTGCATTTTACCAAAACCCTGAGCCACAGCAGGTGAGCTGAGAAGCTGCCACAAACCCTTTTGCTGAACATAACAGTGATTCACATGAGAAATATGACAAAAAACGGAGTAAAAAAAAGTTATTTCCTAAAGACAATAACTATAAACAGGTAATGGTTCTGGTTTCTCATGTTACCAATCATCACAGTCAGTATTTGGAAGTTTTGACTGTAAATATATTATATTACAGTGTTCTAACAGCTACATATGATCTTGTCTATATTACCCTTTTTTTTTTTTTCAGTTTATTTAGCTTGGGTAACATAAATATATTATATTACAGTGTTCTACCAGCTACATATGATCTTGTCTATATTAGCCATTTTTTTTTTCAGTTTATTTAGCTTGGGTAACTGACAGAGAAGTAAAACTGGGGAGAGAGAGCCCTGGTACTGGTTTAATCAGAAGCTTATCAAACACAAAAATAAATGGGGAAAGGGCAGATCAAAAAGCATACTGAAGTAATATATACAGAAACAGTGAAACATATATAGAAACAGACTACGTTGCTCTTCCACTTTTCAAAAGTCTTTGTGGGAAGCTGAAAAGCAGTCTCTTCCTTCCAAATGAGCTGATAGTGAACTAGAATCTTTTGATCCTTTCAGAGAAGAACCATGTTAAGACACTGCAGTGTAACACACTCACTAACACTCTTCACAACGATCCCCTGCTTTGGTGTTATAACCTCTGTTAAACTGAAATCTATCTTCTACTTGTAAAAAGTTACAAACAGTAAGAAAAATATGCCACAAAAGCTACCAAAATAGGCATACAATCCTGAAAAACAAAAACTGAACAATTACGTAAACAGGTGCATGATATTATTAGGTTCAAAACTGGTCTAAAGCACTTAATTTTTGAAAAGTCAAACTTTTAACTAATCTGGCATCACAAATGGAGCTCATCAACTTTTTCCCTAATATAGATGCTGCTCTAAAGCATTTATCAATAACGAAGTGTAGGACACTGTACTATGTATCTTCAACCGTGCGTTGCCAGCAAGCATAGGAAGGCACTTAGGGTGAACGAATGAAAGAGACAGGAGCTGTCTTTCATTAACAAACTAACAGCAAAGTATTTTTTCCTGCCTTAATTTAATAAAGAATATTGACTCGACAAAGTGCTGACAACTAAAAAGCACAGTGCACGGTCTTCAGCATCCCCTTGCCAGAATGCCACAACAGGCTTTAACTGAGGAGGCTGGAATGGTGCAAAAAACACAGACAACACAAGGTAAGAAGTGCACTTCTTCACAGGTACAAACATGAGAACTGATACAGTAAATCTCACCACACCGTGAATAAGCAGCTCTGAATCCTTGTTTAGTTCGTACAACCGAAAGGCCTCTTCTAACTCCAGCTGGGAAGAAACTGTACATGGATCTCCTATAGAAAGAAAAGAGCACAGTACAAAACAATTCAATTAGTTCTGTGCTATTGAACAGTTCTAAGATAATTACCGTAGCAAGACAGAACAATGTTCTCAAGCGTGGTAGTATTTATTTTTAACACTGTCCAGAAAGTACATCTGAAAATACAGCCATATGGAATGCTTTCAGGGAAAATAAAAATATGAGAGATTCCCAAAAGGCAAGCAGATCATAATCACAAAACATCATTGGTTTGGTCTGCTACAAGCACGGTTACACATCATTTCAGTAAAGGAGGAGTAGGTTATCTTCCTGCACCTAAAATCCTTCTAAGATTCTATTTGATTTCATGGATTTTTAATTAGAACTGAGTCAATTCTGTTTTCATAGCTGCTTCAACATCGACAAGACTTTAACCAGGAGGATCAAAGGCAGTTTGACCTTTAGTCTTTCCTTAAACCTCAATCAAGACATTGGACAAATTGTGTAACCTAAGTGAAAACACCTAAATTTTCTGATTTTTAGCTACCACGTTTGCACTCACAGGACTATATGAAGTAAAATCTCTTAAAGAAAAGCACCAACGCAGGAAAAAAAGTGTGGGGTGTTGTGTGGTTTTTTTCTCTTTTTATAGAACAATTGCAGCTTTTGTTGACCATTTGAGATGGATCAGATTATTGTACAAGCACTTGGCAGGCATTCTAAAGTTTCTCTGAGAAGACCGCGTTGGATTGCTTTAACGAATCTGCGTTTCAGAAGTAGCAGTTTAGGACTGACTGAAGTCTCTGTAGATATCTATTTTATGATTCTAAAACACCAACATGTATCCACAAAGGTATTTTAGAATCATTAAACAACATTTAATTACACCAGGGCGATTTTGGCATGTAAGTAGGTTTAAAATCTAGGGAGAAGGGTGAGTGAGGAACAAAGGAGATCAAGCTAGAGATCTGCTGAATTCAGGATCAGGAGTAAGGAGGATCTCAAATTCTAGCCTTGGTTCCCACTCCTTTGGACACACAGTCTGTACTTTACCTGTTTCTCAAGATTCATCTAAAGACTTCATCTGATACTTTAACGGATCACCTGTGTCTGCCAGTGTTTGGAACCTGCTATAAAGCCTGAAAAGAACAGCCACGCAACAAAACGTTTTCTTCAGTGTCTGATGCAGATTAGTAATGGTATAGAAAAATTATCCCCCTAAAAGAAGAAACCTTGTTCAAAATAATACTACAGCTGAAATATGTTTAAAGCAATGTTGAATCTGAATCATCACTGCCCCAAAGAAAGAAAATATTTCTGGTTATTAGTTCAACATTTTCTTTTTCCCCCTCCAACCTACACAAGATATTTATTCTATGTGAGAACACAGGATTTATCTCTGCCTGCTCGTACTCCAGTACGTGAGCAGAACTTCTTTCTAGCCAAAATCCCATCCAGTAAGTCTACTGTCATATAACGTTTCCAATTTTTAACAGAAATACGACTTTCCACACCCTTAAGTGGTAAACTGGCTGTGAGTAACTGAACTGGAAGATGGCAGAACAACTCCCCTCTCAGCTGCACTGGATGTAATCTGAAAGTTATCCTGCTTTGAGTCTTCGGTCAATACCATGGTTTGAAAGCTAACCAGCCACAGTTTACTAACTATTCTTTTTGTTTTGTATTACAAGATAACCAAAATTAATGCAGGCATTGCTAAGGCTTTTCCATAGAGCCACACACCTAGCAGGCAGGGGGATATTTAAAACTCACTCTACAAAAGTGTTTCCAGTTAATTTGTTCTGTTTCTAATGTATCCATTCTTATTCTATCGCTAAAATATTAGTAATAAATGTAAACTGTTCATTTGTAGTATTCTATCTTTATTCTTTTCTGCATGCCATAATCCTCCAAATGAGTCTTTGAAGCCAGTTGCAGTTATTTTTCACCATACTGCCTTCCCCCTACCATTAGCCTATCTGGACATCAAACTGGCTACCCGCTAAACAAATTTACAGTGCAGAGCACAGGGGGAGGAGAAGGAACAACTATTTTTATTCAGACTCACTATGAGAATCAACAAACCAGTTTTTCTTCATTTGTTTCTGACACCTGTGCAAACAGTTTTGTGTTTCTTTTTGGCAGAAGAAAGGAGGCTCCCAAGAACACACACCACGCTTCAAACTAGGAACAGAAGATTTACAGACATGCTCTTTCAACAAGTTCGGAGTAGCATGAATTTTGCAGCCATCCAAAGACAGCTGGGATAAGCGTCATAGGAAAATATTTATTTTTGAGTTATACAGCAAGAAACAATAGACTGAACACAAACGTAAGGCTAGTGTCCACCCCACAGGACATTTCAGAAGACAGAGGTAGGACAAACTGACAGCATACAAATAAAACAAATTTATCTAAAATCAAATCAAGTTCATTCTGTTTTCCAGTTGCATCTGAGCATTTTTTGAAGTGATTCCACTCAACTAAATCAGGTTTGCCTTTATGTGCCAATTACCTCTATGAAATAGAAGTAGTTGTACACAATGGTCTGCATCTTGTAAAGGCTAAAAAGACACATCTAGTATACGACAAACAAAAACCTTAGTGACTAGGTAAATCCAGCTTAGTCGCACATCTGATGAAGTAGTTTAGTCCAGAAGTAGTGACGAGGTGGCCTAGACGTAATATCTCATCTCATACTACAAGCAGCACGGGTAGCAGTATAACAAGTACCAGCCCACAGTACGCACGTTTCCTCATGCTACTATTAAAGAGTGATCTTCAGTTTTAGTGAAGAGGATGCAACACAGCAATTTTCCAAGAAAGCAAATTATGAGTTTCTAGAAAGAATACCAACTGAAAACACTAGAGAGTGGCAGAGAGAGAAGAGAGGAGGCAGGGGTCTTGGCAGGAAGCCATGTATTGCAGATGCAAGAATTACTCATAATAAAGACAGGAGGATTTTTTTTAAACACACTCTTAATCGTCGGATTAACTTTTTCTCCACTGACATTAAACTGGAAGTCAATGATTAAAGCAAACACAGCTTGCTTGTGAAAATTGAACCCTATGTGAATACACGAAAATAATTTAGTCAAACTGCAGCATTTCTGTTTTTTAAACCTATCTCTCATTAAAGTGCAGAAATTGAGACAGAATAAACTACTGCTTCAAGCAAATTATTGAATCTGCACAAAACTTTCTACAAATGTTTTATTAAGAAAGACATATACTTCTTACTATGACTGACACTACAGACTCTTCCTCTTCAGTGAGAAGTCTATTTTCTTCCTCAAGATAAAACATAACAGGCAGCTTACCATCAAGTAAATGTTCGACTCAAATAGCACCACTGTGCATTTCACTCACAAACACCGTTCATTTTACTTTACTGTATCTGCCTGGTATAACTAACTTTGCAATGATGAGGGGAAGGAAAAAAAAAAAGAAAATCTGCTCAGATCTGCCCAAGACCACATAATCTTCACCCCACCTGTCCATATTGCACTTCCAAAAATCAGCTTTGGTCCATGTTTAGCTTTAAGCTCTGAATAAACTGGCACTCACCCAATTTTGAATGGGAAAGCTGCAAGAAGGGGAGGAAACTGGTTTATAAGCATCGTTTATGCTAATCACCGCATACAAACACTAGTCACTGCCGACAAATCACTGCACATTATGGCCTTTTATGTACTGCATCCAGTACTCAGCATGTTAAAATAACTCAACAGCTACTTCACAATTCAGACGTCTCTCTGATGTAGCTCAAAACCTATGTGGAGAACACACCGATTCCACAAAGAAAACAGGAACTACAAATAACCTTTTCAAAAAATTATTAATGTATACACACAGCTCCACTGGACTACACCTGCTAAAGAAAAGGGAGAACAGACTGAACTTTTTTTGATCTGAGGTAAACTTTACATGGATAACCTAAGTGCTAGAGATGACAAGAGTTCTCAGCCAAGGCGGTTACTGCGCTTTGATGAGGAGTTACTATACATCATTAAGACAAGTAATTTCTCTTTTAACATTTAGAAAAAGTTTTATTAGTAGCTATGTGTTAATAGCCTTCAGTCGCTGAAGTAACACTCAAAATACAGTAGTTTTGGTTACACATACAACTCAACTACCTATTATATTGTATCTATATTTTAGATAAATACTGTAATTTGTATAACTTAAGGTTAGTTTAAGTCTTTTTTCAAGATTTAAGACTCAAAGGGAACCATGGTCATCTTCAGCAGTATAAGGGAATACTTTCTATTCCTTTCCATAAGTAATCCTTACATTGAACTCACATTTTGATAGTCACTGAGGTTTTATTTGATTAAAAGAAAAAAAAAAGAGCTACACACTAAGCAGTTTGAAACAACCACCTTTTCATTAAGATACACTTACAGAGGCATTGCATAACCTTTATTTTTGGAGTCAGATTTACTATTTCTAAAACTATACTTGGGAAGTATGTTTTATAAGCTTATCTTATGAAAGCAGAAAGGAAAAGATGAAAGGGAGAGGAAAGCTAGAAAGCTGAGCAATATGTTGATCAGCATTAATTTACCTTCTTCATCAATCCACTTCATGGTGAAAAGCTGTTCGTTGTCAAAGGAGCACATGTCTCGAACTTCATTGCACAGTCCCTCGAATGAGATGGAAGGTTCAAAATACGTTATCATGATGTCCCTGAGCAAGAGAAAAATAAATTTGAGAAACTATGTTGTAATACGTAGCACTTGATCATCACCTCTAACACCTTCCATGTACCACAAATATAAAACTCATCCCTGCTGCAGCCCCCTAAAAAATATTGAAATAAAATAAAGCACACAAGTTCCCTTCCTATAGCAAAGTCAGGCTTCAAGTGATTTTTATTACCAACTAATTGACATATAATCCTCTGGGTATCTGCTTAAGAAAAATTAAGAATTACATGCCCAAATAACTATGATTTGGGCAGACATTAACCACACACAGAAATGAGATATATTATACCAGTGAAAACTGAAGAATGAAATGCTGCAAAAATTTTGGAGGATGTTATTAAAATATTGCTGGTTTTGCTTGCTCTTTAATAGCCATTTTGTTATTAGATATGAAAATGTTGCAAGAACATATACATCTTCTCCAACTAAATTTTGACTGTGTAGATGTTGTAAAAAATCAATGAAAAATATTAAACAGGTTTCCTAGCGGATTAGGGGGGATGTTCCAAATACTGAAAGTGTCTTTTAAAGAGACTCATGATGCTTCACTGCAATGACAGAGATGGCTGAGACACATACTTAGAATTAAAATTTACTACTTTACCGTTATGTAGAATGGATATTTCTGCTACAATTAAGATTAAAAGTTAGCTAACCTGGTGTTTTAAATATGTTAACATAAAATGCTGACCCATTGTCCTCGTATTTGCTGGGCCTTAAATGAGAACAGGTGACTCAGGGTTGCAGTTCTTTAAACAAAGGACTTCAGAGATACAGTTCAGAGGAAGGTGGAGGAAAAAAAAACAGAGAAGGCTGTTTACAACACTACTCTTCAAACATCCCAAATAAGCCAAATGTTTGAGTTATGAGACTAATCTTCCCATAAAAACCTCAGCTAGTCAGGATTTGTTTCAGTTGGTGCCAACCACCAGCGTTATTTGGTGGGGAAAAAAAATAACTGAAGCAACAAAGTTTATATCTGGTCAAAATTCACCTCAGCATGCCTACCAGACTGAAGGGTATCTATGCAGCAAGTTGAATGTCTTTAAATGATCTTGTGCATGGGCAGAGTGGTATCAAGAAGGTGACTTACCCTGTGGTCACTGAACCTGAACCACTTTCAGGAGTGGCGGAGAACACATGCGATAAACACGCTTGCCTGAGGCTCCTTTAAGTTCAGTAGCATGAATAAAATATAGTAGCAGGTTCTAAGCACTCTGGAAGAACAGCTAGCCCATTTCTGGATTTATGAGCATGACCAGAGTCAGTTAAGTTAGGGGGAAGACCCCAGTAAATGGTAAGGACAGAGAAATACCTCTTCAATAACCTGAATAAAGCAGGCAAAAGCTGCCACATTATTTAGCTGAGGAATTGCTCCTCTTCTTTCCACATGAGACAAACTGCAAGACAAAACAATATCTGGACCTCAGTATGAGACGCGGTACAGTACTTTGGGACAAATGGGGCTTCATTTGAAACACCAGTTTGTGCCCATTCCACAAGGCAAACTGTTCCCTCCGATACCAAGTTGTCCCTTTGCATCGTCCCTCAAAACGCACAAGCTGCCAACCCAACACCAGAGTTGTCCCTACCAACCGGGGCAGGTCTAACAGTGCATTACTGCTACAGGCACGCAGGCAGCGACCACAGAGAAACCCACGGGGCTGCATGAGGAGGCAAAGCCTTAACCTGTATTTCCTGTTTTTCTGGGAAGGAAGTAAGGCACTGCTTACTTAGCAGCTTCCTTGATTTTGTGCTAAAGTTTACCATCCCTTCATTTATTCACATTTTAGTGCAGATATATTCACCTTGGAACATTTTCCTCAATAAAAATCTAAGTTCCGAAGGGCAGTGAGAAGTCAGAGTGAAGTATTTCAACTACTGCAGTCTATTTTGTGATTGAACTGGTCAGTAATGGGAGAGAGTATGTTAAAAGAAGGGGTGACTACATGACTATTATTGTCAGACAAGCAAAAAGAGGTGACGGATCATAATCTCAAGAGACTAATCATTGATGCTCTAGCAAAATCTGAAGATTACAAAATTAAAATATTACCAAAATCTGCTGAGACAGGCCTCAATTCCAGAGTGGTTCTGTTATCACATCTTTGCATTACACGGTGTTTTCCACACTTCTTGCACCTAACACTGCACTGATGATGTCTTCCTCAGGAAAAAGCTGTATTCACTCAAGCTAAGACATAAAGTTAAACTCCACTGAGGAGAAATTTGGCATTTTAAACAAAAATCAGTAGGCTAAGTTAAAGAACAAAGAAATGTTAATGCAGACCATAGCCTGCTGCCTTGCATGACAAAGCACAAAAGGCTTTATTTCACTAAGATGTGGCAAAAAAAATTCTTGATGATAACCCTTTCTTTCTGATGAAGATAAGCTTATGAACTGCTTTTACTAAGCGTGTTTGTGATACAGCTATTCTAAGGTATAATATCCTTATTTGTGTCCTAATGACACATACAGGGAATTGGAAGAAAATCTGATTCAAGCACACCCTTTGCACCACCATGTTGGTGTGTCACTTTTACTATGGAAGAACCAGGTTTTTTAGAATTTGTTTGAGTACTATAGTAACAGGTCCTGATCAGGGACGTGTGAGTAGTAAACATGCAAATAAACAAGACAGTACTTGTCCTGAATTACCTTCAGTTAAAATGTTGTCATTTGTATCTTTCATAAATATTAATAAAGGATCATTTTATTCATACTAATAAAAGGCCTGCCTGAATCAATTCTAAGCAAATGTAAGTCAATAAAAGATAAACCATAGGAACACTGAGAAAATGAGAATGGTAAATCTAAACATGAATGCTAGAGAACAGATTTTAAGTATCTCTAGAAGACCATGAACCTCATCGCTATCTTCCCCACCTTTCCCCTGACTTCCAACGGCTTTTCTCATGCCTTTTCTTTTACAGATCATCCACCAGTCACAAGATCCTTTAACAAAAAAACTCACCCACAACCAACAAAAAAAAACAAAACAAAAAAACCTCAATGCCAACAGTTAAATGCAATTCAATATCTATATCTCATTTTTCACGTCTGAGCTTAAACTTCTATGAGAGAACAGTTCACTCTAAGAACAGAGACCGCCGCTTTAGATTTTTCCACCTACAGCCTAATACAGCTATCACTCATTATGTATGTGTAAATATACAGATAAATAATCACGTATTATCTACATATCCACATATTTATCACACATCTGGGTCAGTCATTAAATCTTTAGATAACGTCTAATTATCGCTCACTGAAATTATCCCATACAAGATCCCGGAGAATTCTGCTAAGACGCAGGCACTGCCATTCAGAACAACGTGAAGCATCTCTTTCCCCAGGAAGTCTGAGGTCTGAAATTGCCTGCTCCCACAATCTGTTTTTCTGGAAAAAATGTATCACCAGAAAATTAAATCAATGTTGAAAATGCAAGAAGGGGTGAAAACGTGTTCATAGGCTTAAACCAAAGCTTTCTTAAGTTGAACACTCTTCTATGAGGAACTTGTTCCTCAACAAACAATGAAAGACATTGAGCTGAAGAATTGATCAGAAAGCACTCAAGACAAAGAATAATATAAAGGAAGGATGCAAGAGCTCAAAAATTCTTAAGAAATTAATTCCCTGCTAATATTTATGGAGGTACATTTTGATTATACAGTTAAAATAGAACTTTTTTTTTTCCTCCTGCTTTTCCCACTCAGGTAAACATATTAAAATTAAGAAAAGACGTAAGTTTAATTTGTATCATGAGAGGACTGTCAGGAGCACTCTTCATTTGAACCAAATCGAATCGAAGGTGGGCAAAGCATTGTAACCTATGCCTTTAAATATATTAAAGTCTAATACGTGAAACGGTGCAAAATCTATGCCAGGCACTGCAAGAATGCAAGCTAGCAGTTCTAATCATGACAGAAAAATGGTTCTTCAAGTTTGTTGTTTGGTTGGATTTGTTTCTTTTTTCGTAAAAATCAAGAACATTAATTCTACGGGATTCCTAGCACACAAGCAGTGTATCATTCCTACCTGTTCTCTACTGCTACAACACAATCCTCCCCTTACGTATTAAAGGTACAAAAGCTTCTTGTACTGAACTGACAAAAAGCATCTACAACAAATGAGATAAGACAAAAGGGAAACTTAGAATAATATTAGAAATGGTTGTAATGACAGATGCTGTTTAGTGCCACACATTTGAAGTTGCTACACTTTGTTACTGTATCAACAAAAAAAGTACGTAAATATTTGAGGTAGGAGAGTAAATTCCTAAGAACTCACTTGAGAACCTCTGTTACACACACTGCACAGACTACAGTAGCTCTTTAGAATAGATTAGACTATTTTCAGCATTTTAAACAACCAGCCCTATGAGAGAGAGAAGGAAATACCTGGACAAACTCAACCTGATGTCCTAATTCCCAAGTCTCCAGGAATTCCCATCCTCTTATTCTCATGATCTCAGGTCATTTTAGGAAAATTCTCCTTCCCTGTTTTACATATTTCCTGAATTTAAGATAAAGAATTACCACTGCACGATTGAACGAAACAAAGACCCTTCTAAGAGTCCTTCCTTAAAGTCTTTGTCTTGTCTGTGAAAAGCAATCAGGCTGTTGGCCAGACTAAGCGAAGCACGGTGCCTTGAGCTACGGGTGAGCATCCTGACTATCAGATTCCCAACCGATTCAAAAACGAATCTATGCTTCTGAGTCGCTGGGATTGTTTCTTTAACCGGAAACTCCTTCTGGAAGTTGGGAAGACCTTCCTAGCAAGACTTTCACAACAACTCCTACAACCCACTCAAACGCTTCTATTAAAACAAAATTAAGAGAGATTAACGTTTCCTGATTAACACTATTTCCCATTAAATCCTCCATCCAGCACTAATCTTGAGACAGTTTATTTGATGAAAGGGGAAAACGCCGTCTTTGATAACAGCATTTAGATCCTCAGTCTCCAAGTC